GCCGCAGCAGCAGCCGCCGCAGCAGCAGCAGCCGCAGCAGCAGCAGGCAGCAGCAGCAGCCGCAGCAGCAGCAGGCAGCAGCAGCAGCAACAGCAGCAGCCGCAGCAGCAGCAGCAGGCCGCTGCTGCTGCGGCAGGCCGCAGCAGCAGCAGCAGCAGCAGCAGCAGCAGGCCGCAGCGGCAGCAGCCCCCCCCCCCTCTAAATTACCTTCCGCCCCCCCCTCCCGCCCCCCCTTGAAGGCCGGGATGCTGCGCAGCAGCCCAGACCTCTGTGGTCTGGAGCACACTGCCAGCTTTCCTCCGTGGCGGTCCGAGGGCCCACAGTTGGCGCACGAGCAGCACAAAAGGAGCTCCGTAAGCTCTCCCCACGTCTTGCGTGCTGCTGCCATCTTCTGCTGCTGCAGCTGCGGCCTGCTGCTGCTGCTGCCGCTGCTGCTGCTGCTGCTGCGGCTGCTGCAGCAGCTGCTGCTGCTGCCTGCTGCTGCTGCTGCTGTTGCTGCGGGTGCTGCTGCTGCTGCTGCGGCTGCAGCTGCAGCTGCTGCTGCTGCTGCTGCTGCGGCTGCTGCCGCTGTTACTGTGTGTGTGAGAGCCCTGACTGTGCTGTAATGCTGCAAAGCTGTGAAGCCCTTGTGAGTTTGCCGCAGGCGCTGGAGTTCTACCTGGACCTCAAGAGCCACTGTCTGTTGTCCATGGTTCACTGTCCCCTGTGCTATATTAGCATCTTATAGCCCTTCCAAGCCAATCTTATAGCCCCTTTAAGCCCCTCCAAAACGAAAAGGTCAGAAGGTTACTTACCAACGAACGGAAGGTCAGTTGCTATGAATAGGGATGATTAAAGCACTGGAACTGGTGGCGGATATCCAAGTTACGACCCTCAATCCTACGGCCACCAGGCAAGCGCTGAATCACCCTTTCCTTCTCACCCACATCCGGATCTTCAACCCAAAGTCCACCCTTGAGATAAGCCCCAAACCCACAAATCACGCTCAGCTCCTGCGGGTGGTTGTAAACATCTCGGTGTATGGGAAGCTTCTGGTTCCGGTTGATAGTGAAAGAGGACCAGTGGTCATGTTCTCGGGTCTTGCTCCTGATAAAGGCATTCAGGTACTTAGTAGTTTCGGGGAACTTACTGCAACCTACAGTATTGCCGTATTGTCCTCCATGGCTGAAGGCCCCAAAGGTCAAGTACTCAGTCGTCTTGCCTACAACCATTTCTCTTTTCCCTTTCATGGCACCTGCTTCAAGGAATTCCTCACACGTCTGATAATCATACCGGCCCTGGAGTCGCAACTGCCGTGCCCATTCCTCCATTTGTTCTCGGTCCTTGTCACTGAACAACCCTGCCTCAAACCCACAAGTCCTTTCATCCCCACCTGATCCTGAAGATCCCTGTGCCGACACCTCCCCGGGCCCCCGAGTAGGGTTAGGGTTCTTAGGGTCGTTGCCGCTTTCGTCTTGGTTTGGTACTACGCTTCTTCCTAACAAACAAGAGGCACATGTGCGCGCATTGCCTGGCCATGCCAGCTCCCCGCACACACACATATCTCCTCGTCCGAAGGTCTCGGGCAGTCCTGTCTGGACTGCGCACTCCTGCTGCGCGGCCTGGTAGCTCAGCTCCTGAGTCAGGAGCCGAACGACCCGAGTTGCGTATTCGGGGGTGTAGTCGGGATCGGGCTTGCTGTCGTCTCGCTCGTTACAGGTGTGCTGGTACTTGCTGTCACACCTACATGGCAGGTTCATGTGTTGGGCCAACCGAGCATGCGTCGTTAACAGCTTCCATCCCTGTTTCTGGAGTTTGTTATCAGCCCCACGACAAGTCACGCTGCAACCCCTGGTAACAGCACTATGGAGCCCATGTCTCTTTTGGAACCTCTGAATAGCTGGGAGTCTCCAGGCTTGGCTTGCTTCGTTCCACTCCCAAACTACATGAGCCCCTTGCTGGATAGCCTCCTCAGCAACGCACAAACCTCCAACATAAACCCGTTGTGCGTGTTATCGCTTTTCTTTCAACGCACGTTGCTGTTCTTCAGTTCTCTGGTTCGTGCTTTGCCGTGGCGAAAAGGCACTGCACGGTGTGCGGATCCACACAACCTGAGGACGTTCCAACCGCAACCCTTCAAGAGCTAGTCTAACCCCAGCGGTGACAGACAGGTCCACACCATTCCAGTCCGCACACCTCACAGCCGCATCTTGATATCCTAGTTCCCTGCAGACGGCTTCTGCAAGCAAGCTATGAGGTTCACAACCGATCTCCATCAACACTGGGCGTCCTTGATTGACCAACGCCTGAAAGGCTTTTGGCACTAGGCTCCAGGCAGCATCTTCTAGCTGAGTCGCTTGACCCACACTAAGCTGGCGACGAGTTTCCTGGGGCCTATCTCCTGAGCTGATGGGTTCCTCGGTCGTGTGCCCTTGAAGATCTACACTCACAAGTCCTGCTCCCCTTGAGCTCACCAAGGAAAACTCGCTGCGACTCTCTTTCTTGCGCGGCCGTTCCTCCCTTCAGGGGTCGCCACCTCCTCGCGTAGCGCTGACTGCACCAAATCCTGTAGCACCTCGGTCTTGATGGAGGTCTCGCTGGCCGCGGCGGAGGCGGATGCCTCCCCTTTTGTCTTGTAGCCCGACTTTTTCGGGCTCGCCTTGGCCTTGGGTCGACTTGCAAGCTCCGTAGATGATCGGGGCTCTTCCGGCGGTGGCTCCTTGAGGCCCCCTGTCATCGAGTTCATGTCGACCTGGATGGGCTGCATCTTCTCCTGCTCCAACCACATGGCCAATCGCCGTAGGTGAATCGAACAGTCTTTCTCCTCGCGGCTTGTCTTCATCACCCAATCGCAGTACTGCGGGTAGCTGCTCCGAAGTTCGTGATACGTCATCTGGGCGTGCCTCCCGAAACACACCTGATCGTCCGGGTGGCAGGCGGTGTGCTCGTAGATGTAGTCCAGACCCTTCGCCTGGAGCTGCTTCACCGTCTGGAGGGGATTCACATCCATCATGTACTCTTCCTGGAGCAGCTTGATCAACTCGGCCTTCTTTCTGGAAGCCGTGTTGAGCTGGATGATCTTGGTACGAAGTGGAGTTTTCTGCTTCTTGAAGGCAGCATTCACATCGATGCCGCGGGCCTGGTAGGCTCCCTCCAGTCGGTGCTGGACTTGAGCCTTTGTCCAGTTGTCTGGAAGGTGTTCGCCGATCTCGACCAACATCCGGAGCATCTCGTCCTTGGTGATGCGGTCCATGATGAGGGCTCGTCGAGATAGGCACTGAAGGCGTGAGAGTACACAACTCTCGAAGTGCAAACTGATCACTCATCCTAAACTCCCTACCACTTTCATGTTCCGGAAATTGCTCAGAATGGGTGGCTTCTTTAGCATTGTTGTACAGATCGTCTTTCAGCGACAGAGTCTGGTGCCCCGTAGCTGAGCGGCCCACCTTGATGATCTTTTTCCGATTCAAACGACGAAACACCACAAGATCATTCTCGAAATCCAAAACCGCACCCAACTTCCTCAAGGTGGCCACTGAAAGTAAAATCGGGCCCTCCCCTTTGTTGGGAGCATGGATAGTCATTTCACCATCCTTCCCATCGGCTTTCAAGCCCACGCTCACGGTGCTGACACAACGATCCGAACTGGAATTGCCGAAGCCGAAGGTGGGGGGTGTTGTCCACATCCACATCATGAATCCGAGCATCCCCATGAAGAGCCTGGTTCTGTTTCATCAAGCACTCAATCGCATGCACTGAGGCCAAAGTGCGAGTGGCCCCGCCATCTAAAATAGCATAGCCTTCACGAACGGCCTCCGCTGTTGTCATTGCCTCTGTGCCAATGAAAGCGCTGGCTGCCTCCTCAAGGCTCGCGAACCCCACTGCGCCATGGTCACCGAAACAGACAAAAGGTGCTTGCTCTTCATGGGCCTCATCCACCTTCATAGCCTTGTTGGGCGCTTCCTTGCAGTTTGCTGCTCGGTGGCCCACTTTGCCACACTTGAGACATGTCATATTCGCATCCCGATTGTGATCACTGCTTCTGGCGGAAGAAGAGCTCGAGGAGGGACCCACGGGGCCCGTTGCGGTAGTACTGGCGCCCCAGCTTCACCTGATGCTGGCGAAACCGAGCCTCTCGAAGGGTCCGCTTCCCTGCCGAGATGGCCGCCAAAGCCTCCTGGGCTTCCAACTCCGCAGCCTCCATAGCTGCCTGTCCTTCTTCACCCAGATCAGCTCGAGACATCCATGCCTCCCCACTCTCCTCTTCTTCCGGTCCTTCACTGTCACTCTTTGTTTCTCCGAGGTACCCCGATTGGCGACCCTGGTCCCTGTGCTTCACCTCGTGGTCGCTCCACTGGTTTCGTAGCTCCTGAGCCACGCGGTCCACATCGTAGCATCCACCCAAAGCCGTCTGCACCATGTTCCTCTCAGTCTGACTGAGATTGGCGTCCTGCAGAAGGTACCATCCTTGTACAAACGATGGCAACAACTCTGCCTTGGGTTCCGTTGCTTCCGGCTTGCTGCGCCACCAGCTGCCGTAGTCATAGGGAGAAGACCACCTGCCCCACGTTCCCCCGTAGTAGTAGGGGTCGCAATTCCCATAGGACCAAGACCACGATGTGCCCTGACTCTGCCAGTCCTGCCAGGTGTCCCGGGTGCTGACCGTCTCGCCTTGGTCATCGGCCTGCTCTTCTGGCTTGGTGCTGCCCACACTGGTCCTCCTGCTGGGATACCAGTTCCAGGCATCCTGACGGCCTCCGGGTTCCTCGGAGGAAGGATTAACCTTCTGTGTTCCGGGCTTCTTCTTCTGGCTTGCAATCACACGCTGCAGAGCCTCTGCCTTCCGAGTAATATATTCGTTCATAGACTCTTGTGCTCTACGACGGCAGTGCTGGAAGTACTTGGATAGATGCTCTGTCATCTCTGGGATTTGCGGTTTCCCCAGACACTGACGAAGAAACTCCAACAGCACTCGCACCCCGCGGCAATTGGGCACCCAGGTCGGACTCCGTCCCGACACCATTCTCTTCGCTGCCCCACTCAGCTCCGAGACCAGTCGAGGTCCGCACAAGGCTCGTTTATGCATCTCCGTTCCAGCTTCGTAGAGGTAACAAGCTTCCTCATATGCAGTAAACGTGTTTGCACTGCCATCCCACTTCGGAACGCCCTCCTTGGTACGTTCCACCTCATTAGCAGTCATGCTACTCACTTTCCCCAGCTGTCGAACGGCTGGGGCCTATAAAGAACGGTCCCTGGATCACCAAGCGTGCCTCGCCTCCTCAGACAAGGCTCCGCGCTACCATGAAAGTCGCAAGACTGCACAAGCGGGATGCTCAATGCCACAAGACGAGGCTTCGAGAAAACAGGCAGGGCTAAGCACTGCAGCGGCCCCTACTCTTTTCGCCCTGGGCAGAACACACTGCAAAGTCCACTCGCATACGAGTGTGATGAATGCATGTCAAGTGTTGAAACTTGCAGGGGATAGCGGTGGTATTGGTGACGGTGATCGTCGCAGAAGGTACTGGGGGGATTTGTGGTTGGGTGGGTGGGGCTGCGGGCTTGGGAGAGAACGGGGAGCCTTGTGTTGGGAGGCTTGGCAAAGGTTGCAGGCCGGCCTGTGGTGATGGGTACAGGGGCGTGGCGCCGAACCAGAAAGCCTGCTGTGCAATTTGACAAAGTCCTCTACTTGTGAAAACTTTAACGTTTACGCAGAAAACCACTGCGCAGTCGAACAGGGACATAATGTAGGGTCCTTTGCGGGTCCTTTTCACAAGGTGCTGTACTACTTTGCGGACCGAAAAATGGAACTGCCTACATTGGCTGTAACAGAAAAGGTGCTCATGTCCCAATTTGAAGGTACCCAGGTTACTCTAGATGGACCCAGGATCCCAAAGCTCATGAAGAATACGCCCCATATTGGCTATTCTGGGTAGGGCTGTTTGGCTATGCCAACAGACCTGGGTCCAGTGGCTTCAAACCCCAAACCCGGAACCCCAATCCTTAAGCACCCTAAGCCCTCATCCTCCTGCGACAACTGCTGTCTCGCCGAACGGCGCGAACCTTAATTGGTGTGAATCGTTTCGCTGTTGAACAAACCGCTCCTACGATCACGCTGTAGTTCTGCCCTCTGTTAGTAACTAAACCCCGCATTGCTCGTCCTTGCGATGTGGGAGGGGGAAAAACCCCTAAACCCTAAATCCCGCAATCCTCAGTATCTCAGCCACAAGACCGTCTCCACACATGCGTGTGTTCGTACACATCGAGGACTCTTGGGCCTCTGTCGAAAATCCCCAAAGAGAAAGAGTCAGCATAGTTTCACGCCGACCTGCACCTTTGAACCTCGCGTGGCATGTCCGAGTTGTGAGAGCGTAAACCCTAAAGACCCCTATGCCTATGACCATTAACCTCCAAACAGGCCCAAAGCACCCAAATGGTTTCGCACCTAGGAGCCAAGCTCTTTCAAGTCGGCCTGTTGGGATTGGGGTAGCAGCAGCTGGGATGGACCAGAAGAAAACCCATCCGTGCAAGATCTGCGCTTGCGAGGGTCGTTGAAGCCCTACACGGATCCCCAGCTGGAAACCTTAGCCGCATCCTTCCACCATGGACCCATGGCCCTGAAAGCCCAAACTCTACTTCTTGGTGATCGAGCTTGGCTTTACATAACGGCAGCAACTTCTTAGTGCGACGACTATGAACCCCGGTGGGTAGCTCTCTAAACTAGGGCCCCTTTTCGGTCCCCCCAAATTTTATGGAACCTTTATAAAAGGGACCTTAATTAAGGGAACTACCCAGGTCGATTTGCTGACCCAGTCTCCGAGCTCCCCACAGCTCTGGCAAAGACAGCAGTCTCGTATGACGAGGTGAGCTTTTGAGTTTAGGGGTCTGGGGTTTAAGTTTTTAACGTTTAGGGTTGAGGGCTGAGGCAGACTGTAATGGGCTGCTCTGCGGGAGAAAAGGGTGTGTATATGCTCAGGGCCCTTTGGACCCTCCCACTGTAGCTGCCAACCGAGGCAGAAAGATGTGTTACTCAAGCCTGGATGGAAAGCCCTCCATGTATGTTTTCGGACCATTTGCGGACATAGGGGGCATGTTTTCCAACACGAGTAAGACTGAGGAACGCCCTGAACATATCAGCAAAACGCTTGAAGAAATGGTCCTCAGGCGCATGGCTTGGCTGTCACACTACACCCTCGTGACTTCGCACAGATTCGGCGCGGAGTGGTGATGATCACAAGGAGGCATTCCCGCGCCAGGTTCGAGACTGCTGACCTGCAGGAATGCCCAAAGCTGCCGGCGAACGTATGTCCTTTCAGCCCTATCTTGAAGCTATTGCCACACGACTCCCGCTTTGACGAGGAGCCGGTAATTCTCATTATCCGCGTCTGCACAGGTGCTCAGGTGGTATGGCGTTCAACATCGAATGGCGATTGGGAGTCGCTTCAGGATGTGGAGTTCTATTTGGGGCACGCAGTCCTGCGGTTGAACCATTTCTGTGAAGTCTTCGTTGGATCTAACGGTGCCACTTCTCCCAAACGGAAAGGGATTCTTGTTCGCGGCTTCATGAACGGAACGACACGAAGGGGCAAATGCGCAGTCTTGCACGCAAACTGTTCCTCTTGTACCGAGCAGCTGGAGTCGACGTCTGACTACCGTGCGGACCCTGAGGTCTTGAAGGGTTTCGATGAATGCGGGCCATCTTTCTGCGCAGGCTTATACAGCCATGGAGACCGACTAACCATAGCACAGGCTCACGATGATCATCAAGACATTGCTCTGAATTTTAACCGGTTTCCGCTCGTGACTAGCCGATGCTTTCAAGCTGGGCAATTGCAGTTCGAGGTGGATATCGCTGACTCGGTCCATGCCTTCCGTTACTTGACAAGAAGCAGCAGTCAGAAGCCAAGGCCCTTTCCAAGCATAGCATAGCCCCCGGGAACGACGGATTCAACAGATTAGTTAGTTAGTCAATTAAATACCAACCCTATTTGCGGGGTTCCTTCTAAGATTCTTATCATCACAATTTAATTTACCCCAAAGCCCTATTCTAAGTATTAAGGCCCCTATCTTCTGTCGCTGTGCCGAGGTATTTGTGACGCTGCCCCGACTGAGTCATCGGACCTGCCGCCACCAGCACCACCGCCACCGCCACAGCAAGCAGAGGGGTATGGGATAACGCTGCCGCCGCCGCCATCACTGGGAGGACAAGAAGATGGGAATGCCTCCGGATTGCCGCTAGGGCAAATATTAAGCTTGGGTGTTTGTGGTGAAGTTCATAGCGATTTCTATGGTGTCGGTGTTCAATTGCTGACCCCCTCCCGCCAAAGCCCAATTTTCTCCCTGCCGTCTTGACAGACCCGCGCGTGTCTCGGTTGCATCATGGCGCATCATAGCCTAGGCATCTGATTCTGCCTTGGCATAGCGATGTCGAGGCTGGGTCCTAACCTAAAACGCCAGGTGCTACATGATCCTAGCCAATTGGGCCGGAGAATGTTGCTGAAGCGTTTGTGACTTCGGGGGTCGGTTTCCTGTTTGTGTATCCCACCACTCGCCAGGTCTACACGGCGGAGGAGTCGCACATCTTCCTGAGCACAGGCTCCAGCAACGACCACGAAGACATTCTATTATGCAGATGACAGCGGAGCGGGGGAGAGAGACTGAGAGCCCCAAAGACCCGCGAGGCTTTGCTTTGCTGGCAAAACCCTCGGAGTTCATTGCGGATCTCCAAACAAAAACCCCAGCCCTAGCTATTGGAGCCCCAATTCCTCCCCAATCAAACCCCAAACCCCTAAACCCTAAACCCCCTTGCCTGCGTGTGCGAGTGTGAGAGTCGAAACCCCTAAGCTCAGATTGTAACCGCCATGCCTGCTTTGCGAGTGTGTGAGTCGAAACCCCTCAACCCCTCTACAATTCCTTCAAGGAACCCTTAAAGGGATCCCTTCAAGCAACCCTTACAGGTGAGCTCGAAGACGGCCGTTTGCCCATTGCGGAGCTCTTACAGCGAGCCGCGGGGCAGCTAAAGGGGTTTGCCGGAGTTTCGGGGTCCAAGGGTTTCTTGAAAGGGATCCTGAGGCGCTGCGGGTGTGTAAGGGCCTTCTGCGCTCTAGAAGTTCCGCGAAATGGTCTACATATCCCGTACGAAAAATTACGGACAAAACCTTGTAAGACATGCAGTATGTTTACGGTGAATTTTGACGATTCCTGCTGCGAGGACATCTGTGCCCGTCACCTCAAGTCTGAGCCCCGAAGCCCACACTGTTCGATTCACAGATACAGGTGAGCCGAAATCGAAGACCCCCATGCCAGAAAGTCACCGCAAAGCTTGACATCCTGAAACCAAAAGCTCCAGATTCCTAAACCTCGAACCCTAAAGCCCGGATTTGTGGGCACCATTGAGGCTCATGCCGACAGCGGCCAGGACGCCGAGCTACTTCTGCAGGCTTTGTTTTCCCGGTTCAGGGATCTTAAAATTAAAGCATGGTCCGTTACTACTACATGCACAAGGTATGGGGTCACAACCTCATGTTTTTTTGGTATGTAAGGGTCACCATGTTGGCTTCCTTCTCGCTTTCGAAATGGTCGAGGAAAGTCCTGGCACGGCCATGCAATGGGTCGGCTCACGTTAACCTACGGGCTACAACTCACCTGGTTCACTAGACAGGCTCATGGCTCATAGTTATCGCTTTGGAAGGTGGTGCCACCACCTCCGCCACCTCCACCGCCACAAGAAGAAGAGCATCAGCCACCGCCTCCCCCATCACCATTCGCAACTCAATCTTCACGACGGACAAACATGATGATCTCCGGACGGTTCAACGACCAGCAAAAGATGAACTACATGAGGGAAGTCAAGGAATTACTTCGGGAGAGGTCTGTGCCCGTCGATATGGTGGAGGCCAACTTTGCTGGTGCCTCATTTGGAGACCAGACAACGCGGCTCTTGTTCAAGGCCAAAGCCCTGCTGCCTTTCTGCACTTGGGATTACGGCCAGAAAACTGACGTAGGGTATGAGACCTATGAAGAGCTCCGGTATGCTCACCAGAAGGGGCTCGCCATTCTGCCGATCCAGCTTTGCGATGAGTTTCCACCCTGCCCCAACGATGAGGAAGGCAAGGCGCAAAATGCCTTGGTATTTCGGAGCGACTTGGTACGGATCATAGACAAAGACATGTCGGACCCGAAGCGGGTTGCACAGGAGATCTG